TGACTCTGTAAACCGCTTAGAGAGGGCTGAAAGCCCTATGAAGCGGTATATAAGTCTAACTGCTATTGCTATACTGGAACTGCCTGAAATTGCACTTGAGAGTTTTGGAGAACACTGCTGTAGATTGAACTATGGTTCCTCTCATTTTTCTGGGAAACCTTCAGAGTTCAACATCTCAGTCAATAGATGTAATAAAAAGCTGTCACTTTCCTGTCCTCACTGTCTATTTTTCATGAACATCTGCCTAGTTATTACTAGCAACGTTGCTAAACTAGGACTTTTCATCTACAACACTTCTTATCTGATGATGAAAACGGTATTGTCTCCTCCAGTTCCCACAGGTTAGAGCTTCCAGAAAGGAAACAAGATATTGAATCACTTAAAAAGTTTTTCCATCAATAACTTCAAACTAGATCCATAGAACTGCACTTTTGAACCACATCTGTTTGTTTCCATAGCACTAGCTGCCATTTAGTTACTGTTAAAGACAGCTTAGAGAAATTAATGGATGATTAGATTACCAATAACTGCTAGTCATAATGTATTTGTTACAATGTCTTTCTCACACAGTTCTTACTAGTTTCTCTGCCAAGCCACCCATTATAAAAGGGCTTAAAAAAATCAAAACATTTGATATTTATTCTTTGGTACTGTATTCATCAAATTCATCATATCTCTCCTTATAAAGTAAAGGTAAAGGTTCCCCTTGCACATATGTGCTAGTCGTTCCTGACTCTAGGGGGCGGTGCTCATCTCCGTTTCAAAGCCGAAGAGCCAGCGCTGCCCGAAGACGTCTCCACTGTCATGTGGCCGGCATGACTAAACGCCAAAAAATGCACAGAACGTTATTACCTTCCCACCAAGGTGGTCCCTATTTTTCTAATTGCATTTTTACATGCTTTCAACTGCTAGGTTGGCAGAAGCTGGGACAAGTAATGGGAGCTCACTCCCTTACACAGCACTACGGAATCGAACTGCCAACCTTTCTGATCGACAAGCTCAGCGTCTTAGCCACTGAGCCACCGTGTGCCTTTATCTGTCCTTATATTCATCCAGAAATTAAAAACAAACTTCTTCATATTCAGAAATTGATCAACCTCTCTGTATAAATATACTTTAGATTAAACTTCCTTGAGTATATCCTTGACAGATTTCAACACTCAAATAAGCCAACGAGAGTCAGCAATTGGCTTTCTATTTGCTGTTGCATGAAATGGAAGGACAACAATGGAAGGAACAGAAACTGTTAGCAATTCCAAGCAAACTTATCAGTGAAGTTTCCTTGAGGACCTGGAGAAAAGACAGGATATGATTCTAAAAAATGAATCAATCAGGATATGTTTCTAAAAAATGAACCAATTCAGTAACATAAAAAAATAAAGAAACATCATCTTATTCTGCTGCTCTGTCATAGCACCTAACAGAATGATCATTTTCTAAGAAGCATTCGAACATTTTGATGGTTACTTCTGAACAATGTGCTCTGTCCCAGTAATCTGTAGGTAGCGAGAAGAGAAAGCTAAATGCGAGTGAGCCAGTGGAAGGGGGATAAGTTGCAGGTATCCTTTTGCACCGCAGGTAAATGAAGGAGATGTGCATAATGCATGTATATGAGAATCAGGCTCAGGAGAATTGGGAAATATTGCCATTGCTATCAGATGTTTCTACATTTACCAATGAATGCATTTATTGGTGATTTATGTCCTTTTGTCTGAAAAAAATATAAGATTACAGCCTTCTGCAGTGTAGAAAGGTATCGTGAATCATCATATGGAACTTTGAAAATTAAGATGTCTGAGCCAGAAGATCTGTAGCCCAATCTTAGATGATATGGTGAAGAGCCAGCTTCGTATATTAAGGCTGTATCTTAAAGGGGAAGCAGTATTCAATTTTGTGTCATGGGGTTTAGCACATTTCAGACCTTTGGCTCAGGATAATAGGATTAACATGACACATAAGGAAATGAGGAAGGAAGGAAGAGGAAGACTAATTTCCCAAAGAATTGACCTTTGGATTTGTTATTTACTTTATCCACAAAAGTATTTGTAATTTGTTACCTATTCTAAAACTGCCAGAATTTACCTACTGCAGTGAGAACGGCATCTACTTGAATATTTGCCCTCTACATTTTTCCAGAGCTTCAGAAGAGTCTAATATGCAAAAAAAATATTTAAGTTTGGACTCATTGCACTGCAGATAGGTAAGCTTTATAAATGAATAAAGAGACCTCATCACACAGTGTTATATCCCTGCTGATATTTGCTGGGAACTCCAAGTCTAGCAATCATTTTACTAGTGGATGTATCTTATACATTAGCTGGGAGAGGTGGCAAGGTTCTGGTGGGAGTTCTATAGTATAATACTGTGAATCAAACTTCCCCGTGGCAAAGGTTGCTGTCTTATTCTGCACGCTTGATCTAATACCTTAAGACAGGAAATAATTTCTGATGGTGGACAATGCTAATGCTAGCCCAGCATTTTAAAGAATATGGTAAGGTTTACCCTCAAGCCTTAAACCCCAAAATTGATAGCTATCATCCACAAGCAGAATTGCTATAATTGCGGAAGGTGGAGTACTTCATAACGTTGATTAGGGGTTTACAATTTTTTTTAAAACTGATCAGATTTGCACAGATTAAATAGGACAACTGCCATAATTCACGCTGGGCTTTGTTCCTTATTTGCTATCCAAACTCACAGTGGATAGTATTGTACTTCAAAGTGTGAGAACTTCTATGAAAGATAAATTAAAATATGTAGAATATGTATGTATGTATGTATGTATGTATGTATGTATGTATGTATGTATGTATGTATGTGTATATATATATATAAATAAACTGGGAAT